AGTCCTGGTGATACTAAAGAGTTCCAACCTCTCTGTCCAGTTTCCATTTGTATTGTGAAGAGTGGTTACAAACTGGTCTAGCATGAGTGTGAAGGGAGATAAAAGACATTAGGAAAATTGAGAAGAAAGAAGTTTAGGATTTAGAGGGAATACAGTAGTTGGTGTTTCACACTCTCAGTAGATATTTTCCCAAAATTTCCCAGGTGCTATATGTTTCTGAAACTTTCGAAGTGATATTATTTTAATCAGTTGATGAAAAATAAATATGAGTACTTGACAAGGTTAAATGTATATGTATATGTATATGTATGTGTATATGTATATGTATATGTATGCACTTGAATTGCTTCTGACTGGAAAATAAGAGTTGCCTAAAGTCGCTTGTAATTCTCTGCAGCCATCTCTCTTGTGACTAATAGTTATCTGCTAGGTTCTCTATATTGAAAGATACTGATCCCCATAGTCTTCACTTAGAATGTTTACATTCATGTAAACATCTACCGTTTTCAGAGACTATAAGTAAATGCAAGTTCACTTTCCATCCTGGGCACTGGCTTGCCATTTCAGTTGATTTTTTTTACCATAGGAGAGTGCCAGATTGAATAATTGAGGGTCTGCTTTCTTCAGTCTGCATAAACACTTCTAAGCCTTTTAGCATCTCTCTTAAATCAACTAATGTCAAAATAGAAATTGAATTGTTCTAGGGTTATTAGTATCTTATTCCAATTTGGTAAAATAATTAAAAAATGTATAGGTGAATGCCGTAATAATTATGAAACAGATTGGGAGAATACATTTTATCTAAATTGTCTGAATTTGACATTGTATCAGAGAAACAAGGGTGACTGTAACTATTATACTGCTCAATAAATATTGAGCAGTATATATATATGCTTTGTTGTACTGTTAACTTTTTAGGTTTTCTATTGTTTAATAGGAAGGATTTAGAATTTTCTTGTTCTTTGATTGAGATAACCTAATTTATGCTTTGGTACCATTCAGGGAGGAGTATGGGCAGTACATTATATGCAACTCTTGAGTAAGTTTCATATCAGAGCACTGAATTGATATTGCCATAGATATCATAAGGTTACCAGTAACATAATAATAGTAGTAGTCTAAGTTGTTGCAAATCTATCTGTGTATCTGACACTGTGGTGGGTACATCCATTTATGATATATACCATTAGTTTATGAACAATCCAAGAGTGCTGTTTTTCTTTATTCTTTTAAAGATTTTATTTATTTATAGACAGAGGGGAAGGGAGGGAGAAAAACAGGGAGAGAAATATCAATGAGTGGTTGCCTCTCACGTGCCCTGCACCAGGGAACCTGGTCTGCAATCCAGGCATGTGCCCTGACTGGGAATCCAACCGGTGACCCTTTGCATCATAGTCTGGTGCTCAATCCACTGAGCCACACTAGTCAGGACCTTTTTAAATTCCGGACACTTGGACCACATTCCTGCACTCTGAAAATATACATCATTGTATGGCCATTCTCTTACAGTACTTCCATTTTTGTATGATAATTACTTGAATGCTTATCTTCTATATCAAATTCTAAACTTCTTGAATGCTATTGACTTTTGTTGTAGAGTGCCTTTAAAATCAATGGGTAAATGCTAAGTGTAAATTTGGTGAATGCATAAATTTTTCTCTTGATTTGAGTTCTACAAATGGTAAAAACAGCAATGCAACAGCATATTTCAAGACCATTAATATGGAAGTAATCAGCCATTCTAAGTAAATAACAGGATCCTGATAGTAGCATAGGAATAATTTCAATATTTTATACATAAGCAAAAATGAAAAAAAAAACTACAGTGACTATAAAATAGTATGACTATAACTACCAAGTTAACTGATTAATTTCTCATAGCTGAGCTTGTTAATAAAAAGATCTTATTTCTTTCCTAAAAGAATCTGCACAGTGTAAAAGTTTTATAAGTATAATGTTTTATCCTACAAGTACTTGCATGCTCAGATTTGTTAGGCCCTTTATTGAGAGTTAGTTTCATACTGGCAGTTAAAATTACCATCTGTAGTTCTAATGCTGAAATTTCCAAAGGTATAAGTAGGAGAGAAAATAACGCTTTGTAAATAAACCAAAGTTTTCAAATAAACTTTGAAAATAAACCTTCCAGTGTCCAAAGCGCAAAATGTCAATGCTGTTAACAATTAAATGTGATACCACTTAATTAATAAACTTCCATTGACACCCAAAGAATAAAATCTAACCATTAGGATGGCATCTGTATAACAGATGATTTCACAGGAAAGTGCTCAGACCTCCATCAAGTTAGGAATCAATAGAACAAACATAGGCAACTCTGGTGAAGTCAAAGACAGAATCTCAGCCATGGAAGGCCCTTCTGTGCTAGAGCTATATTAAATTATGGCAGTTAATGTAAAATTAACCTTGGTGTAAAAGATAAAAGGGTGAAGTTCTCACAAATGATCACTTATCACTCCATTCCAAAATGCATACAGCATTCATTATAGACCAAAATACCACTCAAATTTCATCATTTAGTAGGGTTTAGAAACAGCCAAACCATTAACAGAAGAGAGTAGCTTTTTATATTTATACAACCAGTGACTAATGAAACATTATACTCTGTGTGCAAAAAGGGAGGAAAAAAACCTTTATTTTGTAATGAATCCAATTGGAGCCTTTTTAAACACAGTGTAATATGGTCCCACTGTTTCACAGAGCCTCTCATTACTTGTGCCAATAATCCTAGGTAAACTACTGTTGAACTTCACAGCATTTATATAGTAGCATGAATAGCATTAATCTATGGGGTGCTTTTGATGAATTGTAGTTCAGAAAGCAAAGCCAAAAATGACTTCTTGAAAAGTGCTTAGAGAAGTATTTATTAGAAATGTGTCAACTGCCAACTACCTTAAGGCAGCTTGGCTACTTAGGAAATCATGCTGTTGGCTAGATTGCAAACACTGGGAAAACATATGAATTTTCCCCACTTGAATTACTTTAAAAAACGAATCACATTCTCTTCATTTGTTATTTTCTGTCACTCCCTTCTAATTCTCTATATTTTTAATGCCGTGTTGCTTTCGACACAATGTGACACGCTATGCAATATTCCACCAGGTTCCCAGAAGGGAGAGAAGCACTGAAAGTTAAGGGTGAATCAAACTAGACTTCATTTGTATGACTGCATGATCTACACATCAGCATGAATGGAGAGCTACTCCTGGATTCTGCTATAAGGATCTAACTTATCTTCCTTATACAACCAGTGATTGCTACATTCTCTCTGGCAGTAGGGCTGACAGAGTGTGTCTACAGGGGGTTACCACATTTAATTCCAATTTAATATCAGTCTAATTTGATTAGGCTAATGTTTCTCATGTGTTGAAATTTGTACAACTCATAATATGTTAGAAATTAATCTCTCAGTTCTACTATCTTCAAGATGTTCACATGTGGATAGTCTATTCACTAAGAGACTTTTATTTTCCTTTGATAGGAAAGTGGTATGAAGAATTGAGAGACAGTAAAGCCATTTGGAAGTAGAATATTGACTTAATATATTATATTTTAATGTAATTTAACCTGCAGTATAGCTAAATAAAAACTTGAAAGAAACACAACTTAATTATTTTTCCCCAAATTTAAATCTCATTTTAAAGAATTAAATTTTACCACTCCTTCCATTTTTGGGAACTAACCAATGCTTTTTATAGTATTCTATAACTAGATGCATGGGAAGTATATCAAATAAATGTACCTGCTTAATAATTTCTAAGATCCACTGGATCATGAGAACATTGTGTTTTATACAATACTCATTTCAAATATTGTATATAGTGTAAGACAAAATACTAGTCTTAGAAATGTTTTTCTTGGTGAAATACATGAGGAAAATATTACATTCTCTAAGTCTTTCCTGTTTTGGAGATTCACAATATACCCTGGAATATAAAATAAACTCTCAGAAGTTTGGCAATAAAGAAATCCTACTTACTTTGTTTATTGCAGTATTTTCCATCTCATAAGAGTGACCTCCATCTAACAAAGGATTGGTATTACCCTATAAAAACACATTGTGGCTTTTGGAGGTTGGGAAAAACAAATACTTTTCAATCCTGTGCATTGTTATTTCTTCCAGCCATTTTGTTATATATATTCAAATTGTGAGATTAATGGAGAGAAGAAAATAATGTCTGTGGGTGTTTCAAATTGTTGTCCATAAGAAAGAAGGCAATTATCGTTAATATAAAGATCATTATCATTATCATTGGGATGCAGCCAAGTACACCTCTGTCTTGACTGCATCTCACTCACATGCTATCATTCTTTGTGAAACTAGATATAGTGATTATAAATATATTTTTATGAGAATACAACCAAAATTAGCTTAAGAGACATATAATTTTCATGATTCTGATTTATAACTAAAAGCATTTATTTGAAAAATGGAAAGAAAAAAACATTAATATAATGTCACCACCCAAAATTACATACTATATTTATAATAAAACTTATCACAAAATATTTTTTTGTTTTTTTGAAATAGACCTTTAATGCTATGAATTTCCCTCTTAGGACTGTCTTTCACTGTGTCCCATAGACTTTGAGTTGTTGTGTTTCAAGGTATCTTTTGATTTCTTCCTTGATCTCATTGTTAACCCATTCATTGCTTAATAACATGCTTTTGGCTTCCATGTCTTTGTGTTGTTTTTCAGTTTTATTTTTCTGTGATTAATTTATAATATCATACATATGGTCAGAGAAGATGCTTGGTATAAAATAATAATAATTATTATTATATTTTAGTATATCTTTTAAATTTATTTTATTAGTTTTAATTGTAACATATTAAAAGTGAATTGCAGAGATACTTACATCTATGAGCCCTTCTAAATAAAAAAGAAAATCTGTTTAATTTTGTTATAAATATTTTGATAAATTTAAACAGTTTTTTAGGGGATTCATTCTTTCACATATAATGATATCAAAAAAGTACTCACCGTGTACAATGAGAACATACTCTGCACTGCTTTGGCCAATGGTGTTTGTGGCTTCACATCGATATGTACCATTATCCGTTTTGTTCAGGAAAAGAATGTTTAGCTCCCTACCACTCACAACCATCCGATCAGGATCTGGTAATTCTCCACCATCCTTTGTCCACAAAACAGGTTCTGGCCTATTGGATTTAAACATGCATATAGATAGAAAAAATGAGAAAGGTTGTGTATTTTGTGAATTAAATAAATCAAGCAATGTATAAATTTTTAACACTGATTTTGGGCATAACCATGTGCTAACTTGTATAAGGTACCAAAAGAACTATCAAGCACTCATTCAGAAAATTTGAAGTATGGAAAATATAATTTAATCCTATTCTGCTTAACTAAGCAGACATGTACTAAGAAACTAATTTGTTAACTCATTATAGTAGTCATTGATATATAGTAGGTCCTGTGATCCTGATCCTGGGGTTAATGATTCCTATTTGCTGTTGGGACAGCTTTCCCCTGAGGTACCTGGGATGGTATCTTTGCATTAGAGCCATCACTATGATACAGTTTTACCTGAAACCACCTAAAGCTTCTCTCCTCTCCTGCTTCTCTCATTCCCCTAAAGGTTTTTACTGACAGTTTTCTCATTTTTGCCTCTCTCCATTTAGCCTCTCATTTTGACACAATAATGCTGTATTAGTTTAAGATACACAACATAATGATTTGCTGTATGTATATATTGCAAAAGGAATACCAGAATGAGTTTAGTTAACATCCATAACTTCACACAGTTATGTTTTTGTGTGATAATAACTTTTAAGTTACACTGTTAGCAACTTTCAAATATACAATACAGCATGTTAACTGGAGTCACCGTGTTATATGTTACATCTCTAGGATTTATTTATCTTGTAAATGGACGTTTGTACTTTTTGATCACAGTCACACATTTCTGCTATCCCAAACCCCTCCTCTGGCCACTTTCAGGCAACATTGTACTTGATGTCTTAGCCAGAGCAATTGAGCAGGAAAAATAAACAAGAGGCATCCAAATCACACAAAAAGTAAAACTCTCACTATTTGCAGATGACATGGTGCATAGAAAAAGCCCTAAAGACTTTACCAAAGTAACTGTTAGAACTAATAAAGGAATTCAGAAAAGTGGTAGGATACAAAATCAGTATGTAAAATTTAACCATATTTTTATACAATAGCAGCAAACTATCAGAAAAAGAAATCAAGAAAACAAGTTCATTTATAATTGAATCAAAAAGAATAAAATACTTAGGAAAAAATGAACCAAAGAGGTTTTCTGTACACTGAAAACTGTAGGACATTGATGAAAGAAATTAAAGAGGATGAATAAATCAAAAGATATTTCATGTTCATGAATTGAAAAAAAAATATTATTAAAATGCCCATACTACCCAAAGCAATCTACAGACTCATTGCAATCACCATAAACATTCCAATGGTGTTTTTTCAAAGAATCAAAACAATAATTGTAAAATTTACATGGAACCACAAAAGATCCTGAATAGCTAAGCAATTTTGAAGGATAAGAAAAAATCTAGGGGTATCACATATTCTGTTTTCAAATTATATTGCAAACCTATAACAATTAAAGTAGAATGGTATTGGCATAAATACAGACACAGAGATGAATGTAACAGAGTAAAGAACCCCATATAAACCCATGCAGATATGGTTAGTTAATTTTTGACAAGGAGCTAATAACAGGATGGAGAAAGGACAGTATCTTATATATGGTGTTGGGAAAATTAGCCACCTGCAAAAGTATGAAACTGGGCCCCTATCTTACACCATATACAAATATTATCTCAAAGTGAGTTAAGGATTTGAATATAAGATTTGAAATGATCAAACTCATAGAGGAAAACATAGACAGCAAGCTCCTTGACAACAATCTCTGCAAATAACTTTTTTAAAATTTAAAACCAAAAGCAAGAAGAACAAAGACAAAAATAAATGTGTGACTGTGTATGCTACATGCCATTGAGTCAACTCCTAGTGACCTTATGAATGAGAGATGTTCATGATGTCTTATCCCTAATAGCCCTTCTCAGCTCCTGTAGACTCCTGTCTATAGCTTCTTTTATGGAGTGAATCCATCTCATATTTGTTTTCTTTTCTTTTTTTCTTTTCCTGCTGCTTCTATTTTTTCCAAGCATTATTTTTTTCCAGAGAATTTTGCCTTTTTATTATGTGTCCAAAGTAGGGCATCTTTCTTTCTTTCTTTTCTTTTCTTTTTTTCTCATTTCCTTCTCCCTCTCCCTCCCTCCCCCTCCCTCCCTCCCTCCCTCCCTCTCTATCTCCTTCCTTCCTTCCGTCCTTCCTTCTTTCCTTCCTTCCTTCCTTCCTTCCTTCCTCCCTTTCTTCCTTCCTCCCTTTCTTTCCTCCTTTCCTTCTTCTGTCATTTTTTCCCCAGGCAATTTTTCAGGCTTAATTTCCTCTAGAACGCACTTGTTTGTCGACCTGGAGATCCAGAGTATCTTCAGAGCTCTCCTCCAACACCATGTATCAAATGAATCAATTGTTTTCTTATCAGCCTTCTTCACTGTTCAGCTTTGGCATCTGGCATAGTAACTGGGGATACAGGGATGTGAATGTTCTTAGCTTTTGTCTCCAATGACACATCTTTGCTCTTGAAAACCTTTCCAAATTCTTCCACTGCTGCTCTTCCAACCTTAGTCTATTCTTAATTTCATGGCTGTAGTTTTCATTTAAATTGATGACTGAACCAAGATAAGCAAAATCTTGACCAATTTCAGTATCTTCCCCATCTATGTTAAAGTTGTGTATTTCTTTTGTAGTCATGTTTGTTTTCTGCTACTCAAATGCAGTCCTGCTTTGGCACTTTCTTTTTTCACTTCCATCAAAAGTTGTTTCAAATCATTGTTACTTTCTTCCAATAAAATGGTGTAATCTGTATATCTTACATTATTGATATTTCTTCCACCTATTTCCACTCCTCTTTCCTTTGAGTATAGCCCAGTTTTTCATATATGTTCTCTGTATGGATTAAACAATTAGGGCGATAAAATGCACTCTTCTCTGTCACGCTTGCCTATAAAAAGACAGTCTGTCTCTCCATATTCTGTCCCGACAGTGGCTTTCTGTCCACAACACTATGTATAGATCAGGATGGTTAAGAGCTGAGGCATATATCTTTCTTTCAGAGCAACTCCTACCTTTCATGATCCATTCAGTCAAAGGCTTGACTGTAGTCTATAAAACATAGACTAACTTTCCTCTAAAATTTTTGGAACACTCCAGTATCCAACAAATGTTTGCAATTAGATCTCGAATGCCTACTCCTTTTTTGAATCCAGCTTCAGCATCCCGCATATCTTGTTCCATATAAGATAGTAGACTTTACTGAATTATGCCAAGCATCACTTTACTTGTGTGGGAAATTAGAGCAATGGTCCAATAGTTGCTGTACTTCTTGTAATCTTGTTTATTGAAAATTAAGATGTATATTGAATATTGCCAGTCTGTGTGCCATTGTTTTGTTTTCCATATTTTTGATATATGTGTGTTAGGATAATGACACATTCAATCCCTGTGCCTTCAAATAATTCTATCAGTATCTCATCTATCCCTAGTGGTTTACTTGTTTACAATACATCCAGGGCAGTTTTCACTTCAGTTTCTAGAATTACAGCTTCTTCTTCAAAGATGTCAGTCATCTTTTTGTGTCTTTTGTATAGATTTTCTGTAGACTCTTTCAATCTTTCCTTTATTTCCCCTAAATAATATTCTACCTTGTTGGTCATTTAACATTCCTAGCCTAGGTTCAGATTGCCCCAATTTTCTGATAGAGCTCTCATGTTTTCCTTTTTTCTTCTCTTCTTTTTATAGTGACCATAATAATATTTATAGTTTCAGTCCATATTTCTTCTGGTTCAATTAAGATTAATAGTGCAAATATGTTTTTTTAATGAGGACTTTGCATCTATCAGGAATGTTATTATATTATATTCTTGTGTTACAAATGTTTTGGTGCTCTTCTTTATCTTTTCCTTAATGTTTGATACTATGGTTTGTGGTCAGTACCACAATCAGCTCCTGGTCTTCTTTTGGCAGACAGAATAGAACTTCTTCATATCTTGCTTCCAATTATGTAGTCTGTTTGATTTCCATATTGACCACCTGGTGATATCCATGTATAGTCATCTTTCTGGTTGTTTGAAGCATGTGTTTGTAATGGACAAGCTGTTGGCTTTGCAGGAATCCATGAGTCTCCTCCTGCTTTATTTCTGATGCCTAGTCTAAATTTTCCAAAGATTTTAATTCTGTTTTATTTCCTAATTTCCTGCTTCAATCATCAGTAATTGTCAGAATATCTTGTTTTGGTGTGTGACCAACTTCTTGAACGCTTGCGTTAAAGGCTTTCAATTGCATCTTAAAAAAATATTTTAGTTATTTATTTTTAGAGAGAGGGGATGGAGAAAGAGAGAGGGAAACATCAATGTGTGGTTGTCTCTCATGTGCCCCCAACTGGGTATTGGGCCTGCAAGCCAGGTATGTGCCCTGACTTGGAATTAAACTAGCAACCCTTTGGTTTGCAGGCTGGCACTCAATCCACTGAGCCACCCCAACCAGGGTATTTTCATCTTCAGTTTTCACCATTGGAGCATAGAGAAAATTGATGGTTATATTAATAGGTGTTCTTAGATGTCTGATTGATATTATTCACTTGGGCCTTGCACTTGTGGCCCCTAACTATCTGTGGTCCATCTTGCCTCAATGTTAAAGACATTTCATTTCTTCTGAGTTCATAATTTCCAAAGTAGAACTCTTTGTAAGTGCCTGACTGGCAACGTCCCATTCCAGTTCATTTAGTTCTCTGACATCAAGCTCTGTAATGTTTAGATGTTCTATTTTTTGATTTTCAATTTCCAGTTTACCTGGTTTGTGCTTCTTATATCCCATGTTCCAATTGTATGTGCTGTGCAACATCATATCCTCCTTTTGCCTTTGTGCACATCATCTCATTAACAACAATGCTATTCATTAATTTTTCTTTGCTCTTCCCTGGTAACTGTTAGAGTGACTCCCAATCTAGCAGTTTCACCTTTCAGTACTATTTCATATTTCATTTTAGATTATCTCCTCATATGGCTTTTAAGTTAAAACAAAAGAAAAAATAAGAAAAGAG